CTGGGCTCTGCAAGACAGACCAAAGCGGAACTATATTTACAAAAGTGCTAATTCCTGTTTACATTTCATTCCATACCGTTCACGTACAGCACACAACTACTGCCACAGTTTTATTCCCCATACTTTACCACAGTGGCACTAAGCTATTACTTTCAAGGTTGCTCATCCAAACAAAGATATTTTTTCACATTAAATACTCACTCCACTTGCGTTGTTCCGTCGTGTGGGTCGCAGCTTGACTCATGTGCCCCTGTGTCCATTTCGATGGTTATCGTAATATCGCACATTTGCGGAATGGCCTTAGTACACACTTCCTTCTTCCTATTGGTTGTTTACTTTCCCTTGTCATTCTTTCCTATCCGGGGCAAGGCTTCATTTATTCCGCATACCGTTTTATTTATCCGTGCCCATTTCCAAACCTTCCCTGCATTTTTCATTCTATTTAAATCAGGCTTCCGTTGCCCTTGAGGCTTCATTTTTAGACGTGCACTGCTTGCCCCATTTTTGCCTCCACTCGCAGGCCCCACCCGTATAGCCCCTATTACCACCGGTCCCGTAAGACAGGCAGCTGGGAGTTTACCGTACTGGGAGGGCTACCTTGTATCCTCTAACCCGGTACTGGACTTCGTCTACATGCGCCCAGATGTTCCTTCCAGGGACAGGACCGTGCTCGCGCAATTTTCTCATCAGCCTACTCCAGTAGGCTTCGATTGCGTTGGTGTGCTTCTTACTAATAGGATCCACAAAATTAACGGAATGATTGACCGTTAAATGCCGATATCCTTCATCCACCAAATGCGTATAGCCCTTCCATTGATCAGTAACTATCACACTCCCCGGCGCAATCCACTTCTTTATGACAGCCCTTATCGACGGCCAGCTTCGATCATTCACCTGCTCGGGTGAGACAAATGCGAGTAGCCTGGGATTATGAGTCAACGTTGTTGACGTACTTGCTTCCTATCAGTAGGCGTGCTTTTATTAGGTTACATATTTCAAGCGTGTCGGCCGCGCGGGGGTATAATGTATTCGACCTCGCTTTGGGATACCTTGTCTGCTGCTGTGTTGCCATTTCCATACCTCCCGCATATACTCACAGCTGCCAATTGGGCGAAG